CACTGATTCCAGCATTTAATCGCTAAACAATCTGCTTTTTTTGGTGCTATTTTAACTGAAAGCATGTCCACATTCCAGTTTACTGATAAATTATTAATTTTCTGTCTGGCACTATTGAAACCAACTACAGTCAGTTTCGATTCTTCGCCATGTTCAGTTGCTTAATGTCAAGTGTTTTGCAAATCCTATTTTACAAAATTGAGGGGCATTCACATACATTCAAGTATTTTGTTCAGGCCTCTATTCAAATGTTTTTCTCAACTATAGCATGTGTTCACCAATGCCTTAGAAGCACTCAACATGTGTTGGCCATTTAGTAGAATTTCGAAGAATAAAATGCATTAAGTTCGTTTCCTTCCTGATAATTGATTTTTTTGTATTTGTGGGGCTGTGTTCTCTTACAATCAAAAGCATCACCCATCACTTTTTTTGATTTTCCATTCTCAATAACACGAAATTGTAAAAATTCCACATATGCTCAAAAGTATACAGCTGGTTGTAAGAGCGGTGCCTCATTCTATACGAATCGTAATTCTAATGTGCGCTGAAACCAATTTGATTGATATTGTTGATTCCTTGCAAAAGTGCATCTTCGCTCTGTCGTCTGCTGTCTCCTATAAGTTTTACCACACTTTCTCCGGTCTGCAACCAGAATAATTAAAAGAACGATGGCTTATACAACAGATAATCTACCTGTGCGCGTTTTTGTTCTGTCCACTCCAATCCTAATCAATCGAATGACAGTAACTCTTTAGATGAGTTATTCCCATGCAGTTGTCGTTGGAGTTCCAAATTCATTAAAGTTCGCAAATAAGAAATCCACTCTTGATACGGATGCGCTGAGAAAACAAAGTGAGGGCCTTATCGAAACGCTTCGAGAAGCCGGTAATCTCATGTTTTTTTTTTCTTTTACTGGATATGATGCCCACAGCGCTTTTTCTCTCTCATAGGTGTCGTCGTCAGTGAGTACTGCCCAGCGGATGGATCTTGCGTAACAAGTCTGTTAGTTGGGGATGCAGCTATGTCTGTTCATGGAACTACCCTCTTATGTCGACCAAAAAAGCCTGGGATATCACAGAACGAGGCAAAATGATTTACTACGACTAATTCTGCAATTTCAATGCTTACATTTTTTAGCTCAAACGTATCTTGCCAAAATGTTGTCGAAGTATTCAAGAATGTCCTGAAACCGTCGATGGAAAAGCAGTGGTTCTCGAGGGAGGAGACGTCCTTTTCACAGGGAAAGAGATATTTGTAGGAGTACGCAAACATGGAACAAACTTTGAAGGAGCAAAAGTACCAACTACAGTTATTCCCTTAGGGTTACATACTCAAAATAATCTTTATAGGTTGTTGCCAAAGTATTCTGTGACCATGCCGTTATACCTATAAATATGTCAGACAAGGCTCAAAGCCTACGGTACTACGTTTCGCTGGTTGCTCCTGGTATATTAGCTATCGGAACAAGCAAAGAAGCCCAGAATATTTTAAAAGTTAGAATTTTTCAATTTCTT